TTCTGCCAAATTTTAGAGGGAAGTTGACTCCTTTTTATATCAGTTTGCTATAACCTAATATGTTTGTATGGGTAATTTTATATTGGGTCGACCTGATTTTTCATCCAATTTAAAGTTGCTGAATACTGATGGACGAAGCTTAGAAAGTTTTCCTTCGAATGGAATGAGACTGCCTTAGGCACAGCGTCAACAAGTATGTTCTAGTCAAGCCATTCAACATTCCAAGAGCATTCAGTCTTCGTATTTTGGTGGGATAGAGAATCAAACGTCTCAGTTGAGTAAAAAATATATTGATATCCTCAATCGTCTTTACGTAATGAATGTTATAATGCTCAATCTATAGAAGGATACCTTAAACTGTTCACATCATACTAAAATAGGTTTGTCGTTGCAGTTTGTTGGCTCAGCCCTGTACGATATCCAAACTGAGTTAGTGTCTACACCAATCTATTCTATACACAGTAGTCAATTATATTAACCTCAATTTCTTGTGCTCTCTATCTATACAAGTAGGCTGCGAATGTCCTATTCTTAGATGCCATGATTTTCCATTCAGGCACTGTCCCTTCCGCTAGGGAGGCCGACTCTTATACCAAAGGTGTTTCAGAATAGGTATCGCGGTAATGCTCCTATGACGAATGGGACACAAAAGTTCTGGCTGTAGTTGTAACATTTGGGTTGCTTCAAATGTTTAATTGTTATCAAAATAAAGGCTACAAAAGTCTCTCTTATCACCCTCCCTATGGTCCCTTAGTAATCGTCAAGCGAAAGAGGCTAAACTATAGCTTTCTAATCTCGTTGAACAATACAATACATACCAGCTTAAAATAGGATAAGTGAGCAGCATAAAATTCGCAGACTTATTACTGAATACTATCTTTGTTTTGGTTAGGTTTTCGAGACTACCAGTAAATAAAATATATGAGATGTGTCTATCCTATTTCGTTTGAGGTGAAGGACTGGTAGCTGAACTTACTTACAATGATATGAGTAGACCTTACTTTTTCATTGAATTTCGCACAGCCTTGCTTTCCTAAAAGGTATCAGGCTATAGCAGAATTAAGTTTGATTCATCAACAATCCCATTACCGAATGTGATACAGAAAAATGCTTGGCTTGCCTTGGAATTCACATCTGCCCTATGATTAAATGGCCCGCGTGGCAATGTGGCGTAGTGGTTGACGTCTCTAATTTATGCGCTGCATTGTCATGGTTCGAGTCCTACTGGCGAGGTCGAAACAGCTGTCCAATCTGGATGAGAATACCTTTTGGGAGTCAAGGCTTTGCAAAATTTAATGGAAATATCATGACTACTCCTATCATTGTGAGTAAATTCAACTACCAATCCTTCATCACCTTAAACGAAATAGGATGAAAATATCTCATATATCTTTTTATTATATAACCTACTGGTGTATAGCCTTTTCTGAGTCGAGTTGGTGCTTGTTTTCGCCTTATTTTCACTCTATTGACGGTAGCAACGCCTCCAAATGTTAATTTTCAACCCCCAAACCTCAATTTAGAAAACCAAACTTTTCCAACTCTCAGGCTGGCCTCGTATAGGCAAGCCGAAATGTCCGATCCCTTGGAAGGTGGGAGTCAGAACCACCTGGCCCGAGATGATGCCTCGAGGCCTTAACAACTGCCTGGGTTTTGAGGCTATGCTGCCAAAAAGAGGGTTTCTGTCTCGCAAGGCAGGGCTCGCGGTAGCCCAACTGGTACAGGCGGTCAATGTGACATTTCATATAATATGACTTGACGTTTCATTACGAGGAAACTAAGTCTGTCAGAAGAAATTAGTGATTCGGCTTCATCGGAATTCGAAGCAGGAAAGCTTTGGAGTGGACAAGGTTGAATTGTGATGAAAAGGCCTCCGTTTAGTGTCGTGTGACTCTGATCCAAACGGGGTTAGCCTACATCTTTCCCGGGACAGTCATCTTTAGAGCGAGTAACCATACTCGACGCAAAAGTGGGCTAAATTAGTGCTTTGGTGAATTTCGTCAAATGATGGTTACTTCCTCTGAGGATATCGGCTACATGACGTTGGGCCGAGAACTTCTTTGCACAACTTTAAAGCCCTCCTCCTTCGTGTTCTGAACATGAGACTTCACGAAGCTCTTAAAGCCAACTTTTCCACCGATTATTACATAATCTTCAAAAAACCTGTATTTACTTCATTTGGGCGGCGGGTCTGCTTTATCTCGACTCTCTCGGCACGTATACGAAGAAATAGCGGGTTTCGATGTCTATTTTTTAGATACAATTGTTGTAAACTCTTGCATTTCGTGTGAAAGTGCACGATGGCCTTATTACAAAATTCGGATTGACGTCTCATTCGTTTGCAATGAAAACGGGCTCAAGTTTCATTCGTTTTGCGACAAGCATCATCAGAGCTGGAACTCATTCTTTCTAAGGTCTCAAGTTAACAATGCTTCTCGCCGCTCCCATTCCCTGCCTACCTGTTGCCCTGTTGGCCGAAGACGAGTCGTGCTGGCCGATCTGTTGCTGCTCTTCAAGCTGTACCGCTCGTGGCAGGGCATGCCGACTGTCCTGGTTCGAGTGCAGCGAGCTGAAGTAGCGCAGCACGGAGGCCCCTTCTGCGCCGCCCTCTTTGTGCGACACTGTCACGGTCTGCAGCGACGACTTGATCGGTTGGCCTGACGGCCCTGAGGACGACTTCTGCGCAGTCGTCGCCGTCACAGTCGACGTCGACGTTGCCGGAGTCGGTGGCCCTTTCGAGTTCACCGGCACGGGGTTGACGTCCGAATCTTCTATGAGATAGTGGATTCGGGGTTGGCTGCCCGAGCTGATGGTCTGCATGACCCTCGGGTAGATCACAGTGTCGCGCA